TGACATTCAATGATACCGCCTACTGTGCAGACAGAGCTGTGACAAGCAACCTACAAACAGTATGTGGTATCCAACAGCTACAATGAAGCGATCCCTTTGAGCGTCTGTATTATGGGTTATAGGAAAGCGTGCATTATGCAGCGTGTAGAAAGTTGGACGTTCCAATCAGGTCTCTTAAGCGGGGTACACACTACAAGATAATCAGGGCAATTTTTGGCCCCATTCCCCCCTTCAGACCAAAGTAAGTGAAGGCCAGATTCTCTTGTGCTGTGAGGTGTATTAAGAGAGATTTCCGAACCGATTTGTAATCGTACATTTTAAACATGTTCAATATTTTAGATCAGAAATCCTGTTGTGTGGGGAGAACACCGGACTGCCAAGCATCTACCAGCTAGGGCGCCACATTTAGCTTGACCATCATGTTCGTCACTCAGAGATAACACGTTTTGAGAGTGGAGACTCTGGTTGTTGATGAATGAATTGGTTAGTGTGTGCAGTGGCGGTTCTAGACCACTTTTACTGAGGGGGCCAGTTGTTTTGACAGAGGGGAACATTAAACCCAGGTAAAAAATAGACAAAGATGATCACTTTAAAAAATATATAAATATAATGCCAAATAATAGCACACATCATTAAATACCATGATTTATATTTGTTTCAATAACAACATTTAATACTAGATAGTGAGTCAAATACTGTGTATGTGTTATGAGGGGGGCTCTTCCTTTTAGAGGGGTGGTCAAGCTCAGTGTTACAGGGGCACTGGCCCCTGTTGGCCCCTGCCTAGAACCGCTCATGAGTGTGTGGTGTGCTGAGTTGGTCGTCTAGTTGCACACCACACACTATAAGATCTGATATGTTAAATCTGTCATTATTTGTCGTCATGGGCTCTCTCACATTTCCAAAATCGTTTAAGATTTTAGAAATCATTTAGTGTGTGACAGGACTTAAACACTCTGCTGTTAGAAACCTGTGAAAGAATTCAAAAGACAAACTAACCTGCAGAGCTTTCATCCCATTTTTTCATCAAGCTTTAGCCATAAAACCTAATTTGCCTAAAAGATCAATTTATAATCCACATAGGAACAGTCATGATTTTTTTTATGCTGGGAATTAATCTACATTTTTTTAATCAGTTATAGACTCTCTGTATCTTTCGTATGTTCTCTTCCTAAGCATTAAGCTAGTCCAATTGATTCATAATTTTCTTTGCATTTTATCTGTGCATAATTAAATAATAATGCTCTGTGAGGCAGCACAGCCTTGTCTGCATTTAAATTTGTACACATTTGAGCATTAATTCACAGAACAATTATGCTCAGAAAAGTTTGCGTGCACAGTGTGTCTGCTGCAGGAACATTGTTGTCGTAAGGACAGATATAAGAGTGAGGGAGTGAAGGACAGTAAAGGGGAGGATGCATAGAATGAAAGGAAAGGAAGGAGAGGACATATGAAGGACGAGGAGGAGAAGAACAGGAGCTGTAGTTTATGTGCAGAATGAAAGGAGAGTGACAGCACAGAGACAGGAAAATGGGAGGACAGAGGAGAGGGAAGCGATATAGAGAGGATAATGGAGGATAAACACAGGGAGGAAAGAAAGGGTGAACAAGCGTCGAGGAAGAGAGGAGAGCATGACAGTGAGGATACAGAAACTCTGTTGTATTATATTAAAACTACTGTACAGATGCCCTCTCATAAGGACATACATTTTTATGTTGTTGGTCATTGCTTTGTGATTTCAAATCATTAAAATAATAACTCGTCTGTGTAGCATTTTCTTCTTTCTCTATGGGTTGAATAAATATTCACATTTGGCTCCAAAGCAACGCTTATTCAGATAAAGAATAAAGAAGCACTTTGTAGCAGGCACAGAGGAAAAACACAAAAATAAATATTTGAGCTGTGGGATCGAGCTGATCTTTAGCTAGCAACACGTTTTAGGGTTTTTGAGTGGAGTCTAATACAGTACAATTCTGCGGGGATTTCAACAGAGGTCTTGTGCGCACGGAATAAAAATACAAATCACCCTATGAGACCTTCAGGACCTCCATAGAAAACTTGAAATGATGATGATGATTATTACAAAATGCATGAATGCTGCATGAATCCAAAAACAGACTGACCATGTAGTTTGACCTTTCATCAGCTGGGACACGAAAGCAGAGCTTCACAGAGAAGATAGAGGAGGAGAGTTTAGAATTAATGGACACATGGAGATGAGCGGAGGGTGTGAGCTAAGACTCTGAGCTGCAGTAGATAGAGTTACGGAGGAGGTGAGCACGGAGGGGAGATTAGAGGGTAAGTGGGAGGCTGGTAGTGGCAGAGGGGAAGCTCACAGTTACAGCAGCCCATAATTGTTCTTCATGCCTTGGTCCCCCAACAAGCCACTGCCTGGTCTAGTCCCAGAAGGCTTGGTGATGTATGTGTGTGTGTGTGTGTGTGTGTGTGTGTGTGTGTGTGTGGGGGGGGGTTGTAACAGAGTAAGATATCCAATTTTAAACCCAGTAAAGGTCACACAGTTAGCGAATGGATTTTGGACCCAGAAATGGATCAGTGTGAATTGTTTCCAAGAGTAAGAGACACTTTATTTCACCTTTTTTGTTCTTTGTGTTCTTTAGCATGTATGAATCCTCTGAGGCTGTTATGTCTGAGAAAGAGACTTTGAATATGCTTCTGTGTGAATGCGTCTGCCCTTATTTCCAGCCTAGCAGAGGTCAAAAGGCCACGCTTGAGGGACCACAGCGGCATTTCAAACTCAGTGCGGCTCCTTGAAACATGTTTAATTCAACCGGCCTCACTGAGTCCTCGGAGACCAGTCGGTAAAAAAGTAAGAGTAAAAAAAAGAATATCTTCAAATGCGTCATTCTTTGTTTAGTATTTTTGCTCTATTTTCCAACAAGTAAGATTTGTTGTTTTCTTTCCCTACAAACTCAATACCTTTCAATGTGTCTGCAGACTCTCATTGGAAACACACCTGTCTTCATCTTTCTATCACTTTGTTTTTGTTAAATATCTGTGATTCGTGGTTAGTGTGCGCGCCCCATGTATGGAGGCTGTGGTCCTCCAAGTGGGCGGCCCGGGTTTGAATCCGACCTGTTGCTCCTTTCCTGCATGTCATTCCTCACTCTCTCTCTCTCTCTCTCTCTCTCTCTCTGATTTCAGACTATATCCACTGTCCTGTCTCTAAAATAATGATTTGTTTTGACGACGGTGGAATTTATAATAATTAGACAGAGCTGTGACTGTTAATTTAACTCCTGTTAATTGTACCTCTCTCCACATGTGAAACTAGGGCTGGGTGTTGGCAAGGACGTCATAATAAGATACGACTAACAACACATCAATCATGATACAATATTCTTTTCACTAGGCGTCGCACTTATGCAGTGGTCCTCGACTGATCTAGCCTCAAGACCCATCACACCTCCATAAATATAAATCTGGACCAACATTTCTGAAATGTTTTAACCACTCAGATTTATTTAATGAAAAGTAATGCACTTTTTACCTCAGACCAAACAAAATGTGACTAAATAAAGCTCATTGCAGATATTTTGCAAGACATTTTTTCCAGGCACATGTTTGCGACCCAATGAAAACGGCTCTACAACCCACTTTTGCGTCCCGACCCACTAGTTGAGAACCACTGCACTTATTGAACCGCCCACCTGGAGGATAAAAATATGCTTTCTATGCAGCACGCTACGGAGAAGTTGCCGCTCTCAGTTGCCACCTACGTGTTTAAACCAGTTTTATTGGTTTATTTGATGCACTAACAGACAAACCCACACTAACTACCTGCACTACAAACAACTTTTCAAAAACACTAGTCGTTCGGTAAAATCTTTAAAAAAAAACAGAATGTGAAGATTTTAAAACTTTGAAACCACATATTAAACTGAAAATAGAACAAAGACAATTAAATGTTTTAAATGTAGCAATATAATAATATAAAGGCAAATGTTGTAATTGTTTTTAATATCACTTTCTAATAAACAGATAAATACCTCAGCTGTGATTCACACTAGGGCTGTGCTCAAAAAATCGATATGGCTATATATATCGTGATGTGCTCTTTGCAAATACATGTATGGATGCAGATGTTACAGAATCAATTGTGAATCAAATGACCAATGGTGCAGTTCACAATACCACCATAGCTATCGCTCTGGGTTTAAGATATTCTAATGTATTTCTACATGTGTGGAGATGTGAGGGGTACAAAAGTCAATTCAATAATGTGAAAACAAAAATTGTAATTGTTTGCCGTCTTGATTTATTAGCCCAGCCCTGATGGATAAACTCACAGCTGTGATCCACACTCATCATCATATTTGCACCTTTCCCCTCCTATTCACTTTCTTTCTCAAAACTCCCGTGAACTCTCCTTGTCTGACTTCGTCTTTGTCAGTCTTTAATTTTCCAAATTGTCATTTTGCAGAGCTGTGAGAAACATCTAATATAGAAGAGTGCATCTCAGTCAGAATAATATCTCTCAATACTTTTCATCAGAGTGTACCTGTGAGCTGCATCAGGTTTAAAATGCATTTTATTGCTTCTCTTATATTCCATATTTCGGTTGTTTATTGTAATTCATCTCTGGATCCTAGAAGCAGAACTGGACATATTGAGTACAGAACATTATTGCAGTCTTCTAAAAATAAATATATTATTGTTATTGTATCTCTTCCACTCAGCTGCTCTCTTCTCTGCAGCACTTCTCTTTCTTTGAAGGACACGGCTCAAATTAATTCAATGAAAGAGAGTCTGTGACAGTTTGCTTTGATATGATCCTCAGAGAGTGTGTGTCTGCACGTATAGAGGACACGGCAAGCTTGTGAAAATGCCTGTGTTTGTGTGTGTGTGTGTTGCATCATGGGAGTCTCCTCAGCGTCCATGTGTTGCCGTCTGCCTGTGGTGATAAGCTGATGATGAAAGCCTGAGACTGACTGTGTGTGTGCATGTGCGTGTGTGTGTGTGTGTGTGTGTGTGTGTGTTACCTGAGCCTGTTGTGTGTTGTTGGACGAGGGGAGAGGATTTGAGACCATTGGTCCAAAGATGTCCAGTTCATCGTTGATTGGTGCAGCACCACCTGAACCCTTTCCATCTCCCTCTGGAGCATCTGAGAAAGAAACAAAAATAATTCTGTAAATTCTGTCTGAACCTGCAACTCAAGTCACCACTCTCCTCTACACTCCATCTCTGAAACTTTGAGATGGAAGTCAAATTGAAAACTGCCTGTGAATGCAGAATATATCCCCCAAGACATTCATCTGCCAAAGATCAGCAAATCCTTGTTACATGTGGACAGCTGCAGATTTAAGCAAGGATTTTTTGTATGCATTTTAAAAATAAAATCAAGCTAATTCATCAACCGTAATAGCTACAGTTGTCACTCTTTGTACAGTAGAAAACTAAGGCTTCCATCTTTCAAATCACCACTTTGTGGGTTAGTGTAAAACATGTTGAACATGTGCAGGGGGAGTCTAGAGGAGGGAAACTTTTGTTTACAAAATCCAGTAAATATTGACTTAGACATCAGACTGTAAATGTTAATGGATGAAGCCTGAGTGACGTCACCCATCTGAATCCTGCAGGGGGCTTTGGAGTCCCATCCATACTGGAAATGCTGTCTCAGCCAAACTTACAGTCAAGCTAACAGCAGGCTGAGAGCTGGAGCTGAGGCGGGTTTTAAGCCTCCTGACAAACCGTTACACCGCGCCCGCCTGTCAATCAGGTCAGCTACACGCCTTATTGTGAATAACTCTTATCCTTCATCAAATCAAAACTGATGAGTTATCAAAACATTTACCCCCGTACAGTGTGTGTCCATCGAGACATAAGCTCATCAGACTTATTATTATTATTTTTTTTTAACCAGGCTGTAAACATGTTCATGTCTGCTGTAAAAACTGGCTTTGTTGAATGAGTTTTGTTTAAGTGAGTTCTGCAGTCTCTAGGACTGATGTTCTGATGTTCTTGTGATTCAAATACATGGGCCAGACGTGGTCATCGAACAGGCCGGGGGGGTTTGGCACAGCATAGTTCCTGGAGGAAAAAGTCTCAAGTGGAGACTCGCTGAACTGCAGGATTTTGCACTTCCACATCGGCTTCATTTTTTAACACCGGAGGTTACGGCTGGAGAAATATCAGTGTGGCCACGGTAACCCTGCACATGCAACTTCTAAAAATGCCAGGGCATTTTACACCGACACATTATACACATCACGCTGAACATATCTAAACAAAGTTTCATAAATAAGTGTCCAATTATTCATTTGTTTTACTTTACGACACGATTTTATATTTTTATCATTCAACCATGGTGTTGACTGACTGCACTTTAGTTTTGATAATACAGATTGTAGGGACATGAAGCAATTTGAAAATACTTAGACACAGCCATTAAACAGTAAAATAATAATGCATTAGAAGATCTTTGTTTCTGCAGAGTTTAAATAGTTCACATTCAGGACATTAACAGAACTTGATATGCTAAATGAAAAACAATGTTAGATTTCTAATGAACCAGTGTGCAGACATGCAGGATTTAAAGAGTGAGAATGAATAAACAGACATATAAAGGGAGATTAATGGAGACAGAAAAACAGAGAACGTGAAGACACTGTCACTAATGAGAATTATACAACATGACCTTGTAAATATGGAAGGGTATTCAAACACAACCCAGCCAACTCAATTCACAATTATCATGCTTGTTAGCTGGAAAATCCTCCAGAAATGTCTCATAATTGCTCAACTTCAGTCACAAGGATTTCATTTATGCTTCTGTTTTTTGCCCTTGAGAATAAACGTGCTAATAACTGTGTGTAAGAGCAAATATCTATTTGACTTTGTGTCAAAGAGCTGGTTTTCTTCTTTTTGTTCAGTATCAGTTGATTAACAAGAGTCTGATATTGCACAACTCTTAAGATTCTGCAGGCGAGCAGTTTGCTGTTGCTTTTACTCTTTATGCACAAACTGAACACATTAAGTCATTCTTTAACCTCACTCTCATATCAATGACCCTCTTGTAACTTGTCAGCAAGAAAGAGCCTATTTCCATGGCTTCTTTTCAAGAACGCAAGATTAATCTTTAGCATTGAAAGCATTGAAATTTAACCCTGGAGTCCTTTCTGGTGAGTCCACTGTCTCCTGTTCAGACACATTAGCTGAAATGGAAAAAGGACAGATTTTTACAGTGCTTAAAGTGAGCACCATTATTGAAAAGTGTGTTGTTCAGAGAGACACCAGCTTCCCCGGTGTTTCAAGAGAAACTCCCAGCAGCGCACAATGCACTGTCACCTAATAGAGAGCGAGGGAGAGGACACTGATGGAGAGGCTGAAAGGGGGAGGAGAGTGAACTGTGTGAGTGAGAGAGAGAGAGAGAGAGAGAGCGAGAGAGAGCGAGAGAGAGAGAGAGAGAGAGCGCGAGAGAGAGAGAGAGAGAGAGAGAGAGAGAGAGGTCATTTATATAACCACAGTGATGAAGCACCATAATATAAAGTGTGAACAGAGAGAGCTTCTTCACTGAGACAACAAGGCTTTAAAAAAGGTCCGACTGCTTCATTCAGACGACTTATTAAAACTCTTTTTTTTCTTAAACCCACTCATCACATCATCAATGCTTATTTTTAAATATTGATTGCTGCTCAATCTTGTGATGCCTACATGTCGTTTATTAACTCTGATTTCAATTTGACGGTTAAATGACTTTCTAAATCGGTGTATGAACTGTTTAAAGAATAAAACCCATTTTGGCCATTATTATTGCTTCAAGGGCCGATAAGAGTGACAGGTGTGAGTCACAGAGTTTCATATTGAAATAGAAAAAAATATGATTTCATGTGTATCAATTACCTTCCAACCACTCTTATCAAAAACTCATTCACCCATTGCTATGGAAATGAGCCTCAGGGAGACAAGGGCTCATCCTCATCATCATCATCATCTTTGTCATCACAGCCATGCAGGGCAAAGTGCCCACCACCCTTTATTACACCATGGAGCCACTTCTTGAGAGCACCGTGGGCTTCACCATGGAAACAGACCAATAGTTCAGGCTTGGGCTGTGTTTTATAATCTGAGCCCCTTTTACCCGAGTCCATTCACTCACACACTGACACACACACACACACATAGATTCCCAGGATCTTCAGGAAATGCACCAGCAGTGGGGGGGCCCTCATATAAAGACGTTGGCCACCTCTTTAAGTGGGAGAATATCTAACTGGATTTAAGGAGTCATTTGGTCACAACCCAGGCTCAATGAGCTGGACAAACTCACAAGTTATTTAATCGATAATTTATTGAAAATTAAGGCAAAATAATCTAATAAAAGAATATGCAGACTGTAAATCAGTGGTGATTGCAATGGTGAATGTATGTGGTGTTGAGGAGGCAAAACAAAGTCCACAAAGAGAGAGAGAGAGAGCTAGAGACTGAGAAGCCAGCATAAATACCGTATTTTCCGCACTATAAGGCGCACTTAAAAGCCTTTAATTTTCTCAAAAAACGACAGTGCGCCTTATAATCCGGAGCGCCTTATATATGGATCAATTGGTTAATTGGTTGATCCATACTGGTTGTACACGGCGCTCAGCGACACTGACTCGGATAATGACGAGAGGGAGCTGGGCATGTTGGATGCCGTATTCGCCCAACTGTTCAATTCGGACACTGAAGAAGAAGAATTCGAGGGATTCGTGGACGGGGAATGAACTGAAAAAGTGAGCTTTACGTGTTATACGTAACTGAACAATGTTGAGTTATGCACTAACGTTTGAATTAGCGGTATCAGACTGTGTTTCTTTTACGTGTTTACAACTGAACAAGGCTGGGAGATATTGTGAATATGCACATTAACGTTTGAACAACGTTGAGTTATTGTGAATGCACTACGTATAAAACTACGTTTTGAGAGTTAAGAGAAACGTCAAAGAAATAATTTATTATTTGGGGAAATCGTCTTATGTACTTTTGTTTTTGTAGTTTTATACGTTACGTTTTATACATATTTATATTTATATATTCACAATATCTCCCAGCCTTGTTCAGTTGTAAACACGTTCTATTCTATGCGCCTTATAATCCGGTGCGCCCTATATATGAAAACAGTTCTAAAATAGGCCATTCATTGAAGGTGCGCCTTATAATCCGGTGTGCCTTATAGTGCGGAAAATACGGTACTCAACATGTCAAATCGGCTGAAAAAAGGCAGACGGGAAGCGACGGAACTGGACACACCGCAAAAACTAGGGCGACGATCGCTGACCGACGGTCCAAGTAGACGGTCTCCTTGGTGTGTCAGGGCTTTTAGAGTCTGTCAACCTGAAGGTCGGGGGTTCAGTTCCCATCTTCTGCAGCCAAATGTCCCATGTGTGTAGAGCAAAACCATTTCAAATTTGGGCCACTTTATTTAGACATCTTTTTAGTGTGATGAAGTATGTGGAGTATAATGATACTCTTCAAATGATATAGAATGATCATTTGTTTTGGAAGACCTAGATATGGATATCTTCATCTTGTTTTCCTCTTTTTAGTCAACTGTGCATTTAGAAAAGGTTTTAAACAAATCTGAACTATGCTCTATCCATGGTTGCAAAGATCAAATGTATGTACTGACATTTACAAATATCATTTACAAGAAAAACTTCAACATGTCAACTGAAACTAAGCAGAAGAGACATCATGGAGGAAGAATCCTGTTTATCTTTTTGGACACAAGTTTCTAAGGGACAGGACCATTATAGTAGTGAGAGACTGAGGTAGAAATGAGAGGGATGCAGAGACAGAAAGAAAACTTAACCAGACAGACAGGGAGTGCTCCATCAATAAAAGTTTCTGAAATTGATTCAGTGGCTCTTGGGGAGATTTATTTTTGGCAGGATTGTACATCTCAGAGCATTTATCATCATGGGACTGTTTTCATCAAGTCTGCCAACTAAACCTGAAATAAACAGATAAGATATATTTTCATGTTGGCTGTCATCAAAGAAAAAAAACGTCTTTTATAACATTTGTTATTATCAAGCAAAAATTGGCTAAACTGCTTGGCAAACCAAGAAAAGCAAAAGCAAGGGATGGCAAGGGAAATGTGTAAAAAATGCTTCTGTGAACAGCCTCAATATATTGCAGTTACTCTCATGCCAGCAGTTGGCTCCAAAGTGAATAAAACTGAACGGAGGAATAAACAGAAACACAGGAGCAAAGGTAGAAAAGTAGCTCTTTGACAGCTGCAGAGTAAGGTAAGCAGAGACGCGGAGGCTTGGGTGGAAGAATGGGGGGATGTGTGAGGGCTGAAGGCACACTGCCACGTATCTGACTTATTGATTATGTGTGAAATCTCATCCACTCGACACGGCTGCAAGGTGTGTAGCATTGGTTATTTATAGCTGGGCGTTCACTCTCCCTCTTCCATGGGAATGTTTAATCAATGCTGTGCCCGATGGCTCTTTCCTCTGTCAGCAAAGCTTTCCTTCAGCTATTACAGGCTAGAACTGGGAAAACACAGGGTGATTGCATATTATGAATTTATGGAGTAACCGCGGTAACAACCCTGACTTTTTCTGCTGGGTCTTCACTGTCCAGGTCAACGAGCATGGAGCTGAAACTCCTGTCAGTTAACGGGCCAAGACACATACTGCTTACTCAAAATGTCATAGGTTTGAATCCAGCCTGTGACCTTTGTTGAATGTCAATCTTTGCAGCAATTTGCTGCTGTGTGATTCAAACTACCATTAATATCATTCAAATGTAAGCATGCAGGAGGTTAATAAGATGTTATGAGTTCCCCAACAAAATAGACAGCTTCATAATCTCCACTTCAAAATGACAGAAAATCCCTTTCAGTTGTTACTTTAGTTCAAGGCCCTTGTTTTTGCCAAAGACTGTATAAGACATGGACGTAGTTGCAGTTGACGCCTAGAGATGGTGGTCTCCATATTGGAAATACTGTCTCATAGTTTCTGAGGCAGGCCTTTAGCCTCCTGGCAAACAGCTACAACATGTCTGCTTGTCAGCCAGTTCCGCTACATCCCCCAATAATACATAACTCTTAGTCTTAATAAAATCCAAATAATCAATATAAAATGTATTTTTCGGCACACAGTCATGAGCTAATCAGACCAAAACATTTTTTTGAACCAAGCTGTAAACATGTTTATTTGTTTAAAGTGCTTAAAGTGTTTTTTTTGCATTGGCTCAATTTTTCAAGAACCGAGGTTACAATGTAAACATATTGTGATGGTGTTTCAGAAAATAGTATTTATCAGATACTTTGCCATTGTGTAGCTTATTGTCTGATATTTCTGTGCAGTGACCAGATGTTGAAGACTAATTGAAAAGAAACAAACTATGAAAACAGACTGGTTTCTCTTTGGATTTTCTGAATCCACAAGTTTTCTCTCTTGGAAGTTCGAGTAGCTGTTGTCCTTTATGAGGCTCTATGAAGAACACATTTTTTGTATTAAAATTTTCAAATACATAAAGTCCGCTGTGGAAGCTGCTCTAACCCATCTTCTCATTTGTCTATTGTAAAAAATGTATCAATGTTTTAATTTCCATTAAACTTGAAAACTGCCACTGTACCTAGTAGTTCATCTTAAGTCTCTCAGTTCTTGCATGTTCTTGCATCACGTGCAGGAAGCTGCAGCAAGATTTTCTGACAAGGCATATTAACACAAACCCATCAGCCTATCTCTGTCTATGTCTGGGCATACGCATGATTCTGTCTTTATGTTGAATGTATTGCCTTTCTGCCCAAAAATGTTGTTTTAAATATGCTATAAAAAAAAGTTTGACTTGACCTGAATCTCTCTCATTGGTAGGCTACATAATCAATGCTTCAAACACTTAATAAATTAATTCTAAAATACAAAGTCCACAGGTTTCCTACAAACAAGACCTGATTCTTACAAACAAACACCACACTTAGTGGACTTTACTATGACACGAACAAGAGAGAATGAAGCTTAGTTTGTTACAAAGTTAAGTTTCTCAAAATCTGTTCTTAGACAACCCTCTTCCCTAAAAAATGAATAAAGGATCTTTGGCAATGTAAACAGCTCAGTTCAGTTGTTAAGTTGTTGGCTCATGAGTAAATCCTCTTTTTGAATCAAATCAATGAATTATCTCTGAAGCAGAAAATAAACCAAACATTTCTGACACGGTGAGCTCCTGCTGCTTCAATCATCTCCACCTGACCAAGAAGACAATCACAGCACCGCAGCTCTACATCATCACAGAATGCCACGTTTTCAGGGGTCAGAGATAAAAGGAATGAACTATGGAGCAATCGTGAACATACCTGACTCTTAAGACTGTAGCAGAAAAACACAAAAACATGCTCTTATTCAATAAACACACAGAAAAGAAGAAGAACATACTCACTGCTTATTTGGAGGTCACGTAAGTGTGTTTAGATCTCGGGCATTATGTGTATATTTATGTGAAATATGAAGCTACAAGTTAACCAAAGCGTGCTAACATTAGCCTGCTAACACAACAATGCAGGACACAGGTGATGCAGCCCGAGCAAAGGCCTATTTTGTTTGCACTTAATTTTGCGTTCTAATTGATAACTCCTTGTGTGAATGTGAGTGTAGGGGGGTTGGAGGTGTGTCTCTGGAGGAGAGCGGAGGTTTCAGAATAGCGGAGGTGTCGCCAAACAGCAGTTTGTTTTGGTTTCATGCTGGTGATCAAAAAGTCACACATTCTTCCTGTAGGTAGTTAACAATCAATCAAATTGTTCCAAAGGTTCCGTTTCTAAATCATCTCACCTGATTTTATCCTCTAAAATGTGTACTATGAGGTGTAAAACATAACTTCCAGTCGTGTGTTTCAGCTACAAATACATTCTATGTTGACCAATTTCCCCAAAGAAGCAGACTTTTTAATTCCCTTGTTTGGTATAAACAGCAAATCAAGATTCTACTTGAAGGACTGGACAGTGGGATGATTAAAAGGATTCTGCTCACAGTTTACATGTGGGTGTGAAGCCACCGTTTACATATTAACTGCTTGGTGGTATAATCAGGTGTACAGGACTCCAATAAAGTCTGACAGCATCAAACCAGTCCCTTTATAATGTCACACACAACTGCACCTGCATTTATTACATCATCAATCTAAAAGTGTTATTAACACCACTCAGTAACTGCTTTAATTGACATGTTGCTCAGATAAGGCAGACATTTGATGGGTTATCGTATCGTCGTATGCTTTTTATGAAGGATGACAGTTGAAGGTTGGTCTAGTCTTACCCAGGCCCAGCAGGTCCACAGCCGGCTCTGTGCTCTCCTTGGTATTGGCTTTACTCTCCATCTGCAGAGAAAAAGACAAAGATGCAAAACTAGTTCATGTCCAACTTATGAGCTGTTTTAATGTGTTGTTTGTTTGACGTTATTACAGCTGATGCAATCGTGTGCAAAGACTTGATCAATTTATTTAAAGGTATAATATGCAACATCCTGACTATAAATAAAGCAAAAATGAAATTTACAACAGACTTTCCAAACCACAGAGGAGATTTTATTTGGCCTAAAAAAAAACATATAACAACCAAATTAGCTTTGAGATGCATATCATCTCTCTGAATTGATTTCAGAATCTTGTTTTCAGAGGTTTTTTAAAACTTGTCTGCTGCTGTCTCTGCCTGAACCCTGCTAGTGAAACAGGACAGGAGGGGCAGGCAGAGAAGTGTGGAGGGAAGGAGGGGAGAGCTGAGGGATGAAGGAGGGGTCTCTGAAGAGAGCATTTGTTTTCTGAAAATCGGATTTTGAAGTTGCCTTGCAAGCCTTTCAGTTTGGATAGAAGGTAGAGGAAAAACATTTTTTTGTGTGGAAAATACTCAAACTAAGTAATTTTTCTAATTCAATATACCTAAAAGGACATGGTATGAAAGACTTAATCTGACGTCTAACTGGTTACCAGGAAACTAATCAAACTGGCCTTAATTTAAAGACATATACGATTTTTAACACAGCCTCTGGGTCTTTGTGATATGTTACTTTTTATAGCAGGAAAGCTTCTTTTTCTTTAACGTTTCTAGAGATTCTCTTGATGACAGACAGCAGAAATACAAAAAAAACAAGAGCCCTCCAAGTTTTTCCCCAAAGTAAAAAGAAAGGTGCAGTGAGGCTGGAAAGCAGGTACAGAGTGTCCGTCATTGAGGGTTTATAAAATCGGTCTTTTTTGTTAAATAAAACATGCTGATCCCAATGTTCTGAAAGCATTAAAGTACATTTCATGAATCAAACCAGAGGAGGTTTGTGACCCTGTATAAACCAGCTCTCTCAGAACGCTCCATTTTGGTGTGTGTGTCTCTTTAAATTTAATCTCTTTACATTTTTCTCTGTGTTGTAAGACTTATGCAGACCACAAACAAAAGGACTGGATGGGTTTATTTCATATTTTGTCGGTAGGTAGACACCCAGGTTACCCAAATATATGTTCAGAAACACAGTCAATGTGGATTTTTCACAATATGTGTCCTTTAAATTTGATTATTAAAAGCTCAATATATATCATACTCTCAAAGGGCACAATATACCAATTTATACAATTATAACATATTAATTGTTATATGTATTTTATGAGTCTCGATAACACACAGCTCTAACAATCACCCGTTGTTTTAAGTCAGTCAAAAAATATTCAATGGTTACATCTGTCATCTGTTGTCAGTGTTAAACTGCTTTGCAAATGTTGCTAATCAATTGTGCTAATTGCATTTTTAAATTGCAATGAAATTAGGGTAGTATAATGGGGGGGAGGCACAGAATAGGAAGGAGAAAGAGACTAAACAGAAGACAGATGGAAGGACAGAGAAAGAGGGAGGGGTTTAAAGTCAAAGGGCAGGAGAATGAGACATGAGAATGAAGAAGGGAGGATGGGTCATGATGGAGATGTAGTGATACTGGAGAGAAAAATGTGGTGCGGGAGAGAGAGAGAGTATAAAAGGTTAACACGTGGGCCAGGAGAGATCTACAATGCTGGTAACAAACCCAATTTCCCCCCAACAAAAGATCGATGGACCACATTAAATTCAATGTCGTTCCAATCCAAGGCAATGAAAACAATTACCGTGTCCACGCCTGATCAAGAATGCATTGGCTGAGATTTGATGTGTGTGGGGACTGCAGCAAAGCTTTAACAAGGGGCTGAGACGCAACAGGAAGGTTGATTGTGTACAGCAGCAAGAGGTGGGTTTGTGCTCTCTATTCATACTGTTCAACAGTAAAGTGCAGTCGTCCAAGAAAAGACAAGATATCACAGGAAAGCACAACTAGTAGAAGAAACAGTGGCTTTAAGTGCCATCAAACGACAGAAAGAACCAATGTAGCTGCTCAATTATCATATTGTTTCCTTTTAATATCTTATCCAATTCAATTTCAAAGATATTATTTTAGTCAGACAAACATGCGTAAAGTTGAGTCCATTTTTATAAAATACTAACAGTTGGTTAACAAACAATTTTTTTAAGAGTTTATTCAGCTGTTCTCTCTGGGTACCCATTCTTTAACATTCAAGATCAAGGTATTGGCCTGCACAGAGTCCCTTTCCAATAGCAGCAGAAAGTTCAAATATGTCAGCCTTACTAAGTGGTTCGCTCCAATCATTTTCATCTAAACGTTCCTCAGCACTGGATTGCTGGAGAAAGAAAACAATTTGGTTGAAATAATGCTCTGCTGTAAGAGTGGGCATTTTAATATGGTAAATTATGGGGATCCCTTGGCTTTTGCAGCAAGTCTCAAGTGGACACTTCAGGAACTGCAGTTTCAGCAATGACTTCATTTTCAACACCAGATGTTGCTGCTTGATTCGGACCTATAGGTTACCTTTTCACTTGCAAATGTTTCATCTACAAGGTTCCCTTCTGATATTCTTTTCCCAGGTCCTGGCCTTAGTGTGATGATGTCATTAGTATAATAAAAATAAATACAACCCCAATCATTATTCGGAGATTAAATGAGGAAATGTGAACATCTAAAAATCTGACATAATCAGCCAAGTCATGATGATGAAGCTACAAATGGGAGTTGTCTTCCGGAAAAAAAAACACTTTGTAATATCCCTGCCCATTAAATTTCAGCAGATTCAGACAGCAGAGTGTTACAAAAATGAAATAACAAATCATTTCAACGCTGCATCCCTTACAAGGCAGCAGGAAGACATCAGAAAAACCTAAATGTCACTCTGCATAAAAAGCTTCAATTCTCTGTTGTACGTTGGGAAAGATTTGGATTGACTTACTGCCAATATTCTCCCTGAAATGCCGGCAGAGGAGTTTGGTTTTCCAGTTGTTATCTGGGATGACACCAAGCGATGCAGCTGACAGACGGCCAGCGAACAGACCGTGATTGGGTGTCAGGGTCAGTTGTGTTTGGAGGCAGAGAAAGTAGAATTGGCTGGGCAGCAATCGATAACCAGCCACACATCCCACTAACAGGTGAATAGTCTTTTCTGATGGAGGCGATGCCAGTTTGAAAGAAAAGCTCAGAGCAAACCAAATCCTCTGATGACTGCTGTCACTTCAGATTGTTGTCAGAGACACAGCAGACAAAGCCATCAGCTGAAGGCTGTCACACTGAACGTCGGGGTGAGGGCAAACTCTACAGCTAGTCCCCAATGTATTCGACATCTTCTGCTGAAGGAACGAGCAAATAAATGACAGGGAGGCACCAAGAGTTCTTCTTTTACCTTATAAGGTGATAAGTCGCCTTTTTAGAGCACATTGTGTCAGTCCAATCTTATTACAGAACAATGATTAGACTATTGGTTCATTATGTTTTCTTTTTAACTCCACACCAATCCACAGGAGTCGCACTCTTCACCTGTGAGAAGCAGGTTTATCAGCGTTATTTTTAAGCACCAGCCCCTGACCAAACATCAAACCATTTCCAGTCAAGCATTCTTTGTTTTTTTTCAAGTCATGTCATTATTATTTATAACTATCACTGATTATCAATGAGTTAGACAAAAGGTTTTATTCAGACAGATATAGTTCAGACTGAAAAGTTCTGCTGAAGAGCTTCTGAAACACATCGATTTTTATTTGAGCTGACATTTTAATCGTGATGTGATTAAGGTCTGGAATTAATGCAATTATTTTCATTGCATTAAAAGCGTTGTATTTGTGATCTGCTGAGGGACTGCAGATGTAAACTAGCTTTAAGCTAACGCTAGTACAATTCAACAAATGGATGTATTTATGTAAAATATTTTACATGGTCCCTTTACAAATAAAATCAATTCACTTAAATACTGTCCCTATAAGTGAACCTTCGTTAATCCACCGTAGTGTCTCCCTGTAGTCACGGTGATGGAACAGAATGACTCTACTGTGACTCTGAATGTCTCTTTTCACTTTAAGAAACTTTCAGACAGCTCAGCTGACGAGTCAAAAGTACATTTTGCAGCTCCCTGGAGCTGTTTTCATCCAAAACGAGTTCCTTTTTGCGTGGTTAAAGTAGCACTAGTTTAAGACAGAACAAAAAATTCAAAATAAAAGCATAACAAAATCTGTTTCAAATGCAAAATAATGACATTATTTTATTCATATATGTTTCATCACCTGGAGTAAAAAGCCATCCGCAATTGATTGATAAGTTGACAATCTTCCCTTGATTTACTGCTCTACCGCTCATGTATCTGCTCGCTCTGCCTTCATGAGAAGGGTCAACTGACAATCACAAAAGTCCTGCAGAGAAACACCCTCCTCATCCCCACACTTTAAATGCACTGATTGTAGCAGCATTTTATTTAAGTTTGTGAATGCAGCTGGTTGGTTAAATGCCATAACCTGCCACCATCATTTAATGTGATGCATCACTAAGGATAACTTGTCACATGGCCCAACTGCTGGACTGAAATCAGAACTACAGGTGAACAAACCTTATTCTGCAACTTTTTTAAGATTTATTTTTGGCTTTTTGGAGCCTTTATTTGAGCGATAGGACCGTGGATAGAGTCAGCAATTGTGGAGAGAGAGAGAGTGAGGAATGACATGCAGGAAAGGGGCCACAGGTCAGATTCGAACCGGGCCGCCTACATTGAGGACCGTCACCTTTGTACATGGGCACATGATACACTAACCACAACGCTACCAGTGCCCCCTGTTCTTCTACTTTTAAAACAAACTGCGTGTGATGAAGTAAACAGAGCATGCACAAGCAAGGTAGACAGTGGCTTGCATGTTTGGATGTGCATCCATGAATAACAAGCAAATGTTAAAGTGCTTTTCTCCACATTCAATCCCCTCTTACATAACAGTTCCTGCACAGATATTTCAAATAAAAACCCCTCCAGCATCTCAGAGTGAA